CCCCCCCCTCCTCTATCGCGTTCGACGTCGTGCCTCTCTACCCACTCCGGGCCTGCATGCACGGCGGGCCCGGAGGTACGCACACGAAGGCCAAAGGAAAGTGTGTGTATATATATATGTGTGTGTGTGCACAGCCTCAGGTACGAGAATACCCCTCACGGCCCCAGCTTGTCTCTATCGGCGCAAAGAAACTGCGCGCTGTGCCGCTACCGACGTTGCTACTCACGTTATCGTCGTCGATGTCGCATTCATCGCCATCGCCGTCGCCGGAGAGAAAGGCGCTCATCTGCAGATTTAGACGCTGCAGCTCGGGCGGAATATCGTACGGGACGGCTTGGTGCGGAATGCGCTTAAAGAAGTAGGCGTAGCTGATGGCGTTCAGCACCTGCTCCTGGCCGTGCAGATCGACGTCCACGCAGCACAGCAGCGTCGCCTTCGCATTGCCGCCAAAAATGGGGCGCAGAAAACGTGCCATGCAGTTCGTATGCGAGCTGGGCAGCTGGTCAAACGCCGCCTCGGCGCGTGCGGCAACACTCGGCCCTGCGGGGGGCGCAACGCTGGAGGTGGCGGCGATGCCGTCGCACACCGCCTGCAAGGATTCCTCCACCCACTGCGCCTCAGGCGTCGTCAGTGGCCGCAGTGCCGGCCTCGCGTCGGCGGCTGGCGGACCGCAGAGATCGACGAACGACACCAGCGCGCGCCGGTAGTGCCCCTGCTCGCTGAAGCTCTCCACACGCAGGGAAAAGATGGCGTGAGAGGCCCCGTCACAGTGCGGCACGCGGGTGACGCCGTCCTCGAGGCGCTGATCGTCCGCGTTGCTGCCGCCGTCGTCGCCCGCCGGCAGGCAGGTAGAGAAGCCGCGCCGCCAGCGCCCGAGACGCCCAAACCCCTCAAAGAAAACCCGCATCACTTCCTCAGCTGTCTCCGCACGCACTGCGGTTACTTCTTCACCGGTGCCGCCGCACGACACCGGCGCTGCGGAGGAATCGCCTGCCATGGCGGAGGTGAGTTTCACCCGTGCCGTGTTGTTTGCGCCGCCGCCGGTCGTGGTCCGACCCGGCTGCCGCAGGAGAAGATCGACCGTCTGGTTCATGGCGAGTTCCAGGAAACTGCAGGAGATGCTGAAATGGGCTACCGCGTGCGCAACGAGGCCGTTGAAGAGGCCGTGCACGAAGAGCGACAATAGACCCGCCGTTTTTCCACAGCCGCGGAGCGACTTGAACAACGCATCCGCAGACGGCATCCGTCCAACACTGGCGGAAGGACGCAAACTACGGGCGCAGCTGCGCTGCTGCTGCTGCTGTTGCAGCATGCCGTGCTGGATAACGGCAGCCTTGGTGCCAAACAGAGTCTCCGTCTTCCCACCCCCCGCGGGACCAAAGGAGAGAAAAACCAGATTCACCCCTGAAAGTGCGTCCGCAACGGCGTGCTCTACGCGAGCGGCGGCAGCAAACTCCTCATCCGGCGGAAAGATTTGCGGTGTCGTGGCATCCGCATTGGAAGCCGCACCAGCGGCCGAGGCGAGGGCGGGTTCTGGCTGCAGTCGCCGCCTAAGCGGTGCCACGACGCACGCCGCGTCCACCACAAATGTGCGTCGCCGGTCTAAGTCGACCACAGTGCACTCATCCGTGACGGCAATATTTGCCCGGCGCCGCGCTCCTTCGTCGTCGCGCCGCGGCGCCTCTTTCTGCAGGCGATCGTCCCGCGCGGTCTCCTCCCGCGCCGGACTACCGTCACGGGCCGCGGCAGCGGCGACCCGCACCACGACGCGTTGGCCCCCCTTCAACTCTGCCAGCGTGTTCGCGTACCGCTTCTGCAGCAACTGCGTCGCAGCAAACTCCTCCGCCGTGTGCCGCAGGCAGCGCTCCGCCTCGTTGTGCTGGCGTTCCGTGGCGTTGGCCTTTTCCTCCGCCAGCTGCAGCCGTTGGCGAAGCTCGTCCCGTTCAGCGAAGGCCGTCTGACGTAACGCGCGCAACTCTCTCAGTGCGTCAATCTGCTGCCGCAGCACCTCGCCAAGCCGGGAGGTCTTGCGGGAGACAAGAGCGAGTTGGTGCTCTGCCGCCTCGTACATGTCTCTCCTTCCGTGGGCCCGGGACTATCTCCCCCCACGCCGGCTCTGCCTTTGCGCAGCCACGTCAGCCCCGCCCCTTCCTCTTCACAGATTGTGGGGGGTGCGTGCGTGGGTGCTCCCACGCAGACGAAGAGAAGCGGATGAAAACCACAGAGCGAAAAAGTTTGGGCACCGCAAGAGGCGGGGACCCAGGCGGGGCGGGGGCGGCACAACAGCGGTGAGCCACCCCCCGCCCTCCTCCCCCCAGACCGCGACGAAACACAAGCAGCGGACGCAAGGGAGAGGCATGTGGGGGTGTTGGGAAATGCCGCAGTGCGGGGGCGGGGTTATTTCTTTTCCCCCGCCTCCCTCCCAGCCTCTTGCGGTGGGAGCAACGAAGGGGCAAAACCACAGGGAACGCAATGAGGCGGGGCGGGGCGGCACCGCGGCAGCGACGCGGGCGTTACTCCAAGCATCAGAGATGGGGATAAAGGAAGGAGAAAAAGAAAGAGAAAAAAAAGTAGAGAGAGACAGATAGAAACGTTTAGAACTATAACTATAAATGTGGTTCGTATGGAAGGAGAGTGGGACGCACACCGGTATGCATACATTCGCCAACCAAGTGAAAAAAGAGAAAAAAGCAAGGGCACATGTCTTTCAAATGAGCGTGTTCTGGTGTGCGATCTTGCGGCCCCCGTTTGGCGTTCTCCCTCCGTTTTGGGCCGTCGCTGTTGTCCCGGCTTCCCCCACGCACTCCCCCCTTCGCTGCCACACACACTCTTTTCGCTTCATTTTTCTTTTTCTGACGCGTGCCTCTCACGCGCGGCTTGTAGCCGTTGCAGGTGGGTGCAAAGAAACTCTCCTCCCCGCATCGCCTCCCTTCGTCTGTCGCTGCGGCGGGCATTTGTTTGCCCGCCGCCGCCTGCTCTCCTCGCCGCAGGGAGTGAAAAGCTGGGAATCCAGCGGGTATAGGGAATGAAACCCCGTCCTGCACCAGAAGGATAAACACACACACACACACACACACACACCACAAATGCACAGAAGCAAAAGAAAGTAGAAAAGGAAAGCGGTCTTCACACCATGATGGCGCAGAGGTCTCGCCTCTCCGAGTTGCCGTGCATCATCATCTCTAGCCCCTGCTGATCAACCGCGAACAACGGGCAGCAGAGCATGAGGGAAAAGTCTCCGACGGAGGTCCCTTGCAGGCGGTAGCGACAACGCAAAAGATACCGCAGCCGCCAACCAAAGGCCGCGGTACCTAATCCGTGGTAAAAAAATCCACAGGGGCAACCACATGTGAGCAGGTCACATAAGCAGATGTAGTAAAACGACCGTGGCATGTGCCCCTCACGTCCAAAAAAGTCCTCGCAACACAAGCGGTAAGGCTCACGGCCTCGCTCCTCTTCCTCGCGAAAGAGAAGATACGTTTGCTCTGCAACACCGCACCGCAGACAGAAAAGGCGCCAAACAAGGTGCCCCAAGGCGGAGTCGCATTTTGGCTCTGGCGGATTCGTCGGGCCGCGTCTCCGGCTACCTACAGCCACCAACTCTGCGTAGTCAAACTGGTCCGGCGGGAGGTCATTCCCGCGCAGAAAGAAAAATGGCGCCCAGAGCGAATGCAGCCACTGCTTGCGGTCAAGCACAGGTGAGGCAAGGACGGGGGGGCGGGTGGTCACAATGAGCCTTTCCCGGTTGTGGAACTGCTCCCGCAGTGACATGTAGTTGAAATCCGCTCTAAATAGCTCCGCCGAGGGTATACTTGACGGCCGCTCCAACGCACCCGCCGCGCCTCTGAGGCCGCTTGGCGCAGGGGGCGAGGGTCGGGCCGCCGCGTGCCTCTGCCGCGGCCGGAACGTTGAGGGCTGCAGTTCCCGTCGCTGGCCCTCCCGCCCTGCTGCAGCCTCGCGCAATGGGGGCATCGGCGGCCGCGTGGACCGCGGGGAGGGCATCACAACAGCAAAATGAAAAATGAAAGAAAAACCTACACAAGAAAAAAAGGAAAAGCATACGCAGAAGGAAGGGAAGAAAAAAAAAGGAAACGGGAGCGGGGGAGGAGAGGAGAGGGGAGTAAGTGCAAAGATAAGCGAATGGAGTTGCATGCAACGCGGGATCCCCCCAGACACACACACACACACACACGCACAAAACCACGCCAATATAAACTCAGGTGCAACTGTTTTACCTCCGCTCCCGCCCCATCGCTTGCTTCTCGTCCAAAGCGGCGGAGAAAGGAGTGAACAGGGAGGAAAAAAAAGAAAGGATAGAGAGGGAAATAGCGCAACGGGTGAAGGAGTCAAGGCAGCCGAGGCTCGTGTCAGCGCATACGCAAACACACAGCGGCTCAATGCTACTGCTGCTGCCTTGCAGAGCTCATTTCCCATCCATTCAATGCAATGATGTATATTAAACTATACGTATACGTGTGTGCGCGTGTGCGTCTGTGTGTGTATATGCATATACGTTTGTTACCGCGCACTCTCGCAGACACTATTCTCTGGCGTGTTCAGCAAAGACGCCTCTGCCAATTGCTCCTCTAATATGTTCTGCCGCACCTCCTCAAGAACAATCTCGTCTGCGTCTGCGCAGACCATCTCAATGAGGTCGGAACTCTCTTCCCCTGGCTTGCTGGCGGCGTGCGTCGCGTCCTGCGTGTCCGACGACTTCGCCGTCGCCGTTCCCGTCGGCGGCGGATGCGAGGACTGCAACGCGCCCGCCGTACCCAAGTGACACTCCACCGGGTGGGCGCCGTGTTTCTCCTCCACGGGGACGCCAAGCAGCAACGGGACACAATAAGGAAGATCAAGCCCAATGCGACTACGGGGTCCACCGTTTTCCTGCGGCGTATTCGCAACCTCGACAAAGTGTGCGATGATGGGCGAGAAGAAGGCGGGATGAAGGTAGTGTCCCATGCTTTCCAGGATGATCAGCTTGGCGCACGGTATCACAGAGGCCGTGCGGTGGCCGTGGGCCGGCGGCATCAACACATCCTGCTGACCGTGGATGACCAGCGTCGGACAAGAGAGTGAGCGAAGGGCCTCGTCGCGTCCAGGGCATCGGCGAATAGCCGCGGCCTGTCGCAGCAGGCCTGCAGAGTACGCGCTTCGCCGCAGTGAAATCAAATACCGGTGCTTTAAATACTCCTCGTCGACGGGCAAGGTCCCTGCCAGCAGCTTTTTCAGTGAGGCAACGCGGAAGTTTAGCAGCTCCTCAAGGGTGCAGTTGGCGGGAGGCTTCCGCAGCAGCCACATCTTCACCCATAGCTGCGGGTCGGGCAGGTCAGAGGCGTTTGTGGTTGACATGATGCTCGTGAGGCTCAGCACTCGGTGCGGCGCAAGCAGCGCCACCGTCTGGGCAATCATGCCACCCATGCTGATACCCATGATGTGGGCAAACGAAACGCCAAGGGCATCCAGCAGCGCAAGGGCATCGCGCGCCATGTCCGCAATCGTATAGGGAAGACGTTCTCCAAAGGCAAGGGCTTGTGGCAGCAACAGGCGCGCCGGCACGACACTGCCGCGCTCCTCGATTTTTGTGGAGTGTCCAATATCACGGTTATCAAAGCGCACCACAAAAAAACCAGACTTCACAAGCTCCTCACAAAACGCCTCATCCCAGGCATACATTTGCATGTTGAGGCCACCAATGAGAAGCACCACGGGCATCTTGCTGCAGGGATCACCAAAGCACTGATAGCAAAGCTCAATGCGCATATTACTCGCCGTGCAGTACCGCACAAATGTTACCATCTCGGGAGAATGCATGGCGCCCAGTAACGCGTCCTTAACTCGCCCTTGCCCTTGTCCTCGCCCCTCTCTCACTATCTCTGTAATGTCCCCGTTGACAATTTTGTACCTTCTGCGTTACCCCGTTCTCGGCGTCACTCCACTTTTGATTTGTTGTGCGTCTATATATATATATATAATTTGCTGCGGCGCCAACCGCCTTCCCTGCAGCTTCGCGGACGTTCCAGCTCCTTCGTTTACGGGCACTGTGCGTGCACGGGTGGGGGGTGCGGGGCACACGTGCAAACATTGCCACCAAGAGGATTTGAAAGGAAAGAAGGAAAAAAAGGGCAAAAGCATTGAAAAGAGCCATAACACCACACGCCTCAGACTTCGGAAAAGTCATGAAGGCGGGACCGCAGGCGGTAGGAGGAGGGGCAGGACGGTTATCCTCCCCTCCTCGCAAATTTCACTGAGAACCAAGCAAGGCAAACATTTTATAAGGCGAAGGCGCGCAAAAGAAAAGAAGAGATAAGAAAAAAAAAGAAGAGAGAGAGAGAGGAAAACAAAGCGGTGTCGTAGCTCTGTAACATGGCGGCCACCTGACGGGGGGCATCGTGCCACTCTCTTGCAGCACTGGCAAGAAGCATCGGACCCGCTCCCCCACAGAAAACGATATAGTATTCCTGCCGGTCATGGAAGGCGTCGCCGTCTCTCTTGCTTTCCTGCTTTCATGTCTGCGTGGACGCGGGTTGGGGTCGCCGTTGCTCAGGCACTGGCATCCGCTCGCCGCGTGTTCCACACGATCTCCTGCGCAATGTCGCCCCACAGCTCCTCTGGCAGGGAGTGGCCCATGAGCGGGAACAAGACCAGCTTCGCCGAGCGCCCAACCACGGTCGCAAGCTCAACGCCATTTTGGTATGGAACCATCTCGTCGCACATGCCATGCATCACCAGCGTCGGGGTTTTCAAACCTCGTAGAGCCTCCACGCGGCTCTTCGCCCGTTGAACCGCGGAGAGGTGGCGGCGCAAAGCCATGGGATCCTCAGCCGCACGCGTCAGCACCTGTGTCGCGAGGCGCCGGCACTTCTCTGCGTCTGGAGGGTAGTTGGGCCCTGCCATGCGGCGCATCAAAGAACACTTGAATTCAATCAAATCCTCCAACGAGGAGCTGGCCGGCCTGTCGAGGAAGCCCAGTTTTGTTCTCCAGCCCTCCCGCACTCGTGCGGGGTTGCCAGTGTGTGAGAAAATGATCGTCAGACTCCGCACACGGGTCGGGTAGTGGATCGCCATGAGTTGCACGATCATGCCGCCCATGCTGCACCCCACCACATGCGCCGCATCGATGCCGAGCGCCGTCAGGAGGTTCATCCCATCCGCCGCCATGTCCTCCAGTGAGTACGGATTTCGCTCACCGAAGGACAGCGCGCGTGGCAGCAGCATGCGCATCACGTGCGGCCCGGGGAAGTCCGTGAGGCGCGTGGACAGCCCCACGTCACGGTTGTCGTACCGAACCACGTAGTAGCCATTCCTGGCAATCATCTCACAGAACTCGTCACGCCAGAGCATGCCGACGCCCGTCATTCCCATGACCAGGAGAACGCACGGGTCTTTGGGGTCTCCAAAGGCGTTGTAGCAGATGGAGATCTCCACCCCTGTACTGGCGCACTTCCCAACCTTGGCAGTCGTATCGGGCGTCTGGGACATGTGTTGCTCAAGGCCGTAATGGATGTGTAAATTGAGATATTTATAGACGTGTATGGATTCGCCACACACTTGGCGCGTTTACTTTTGCCGTTAATAAAATAAGTGATATAAAACTAAGAGTAGATGTGCACTCAACTAGAACTGGGCACAACCCAAGAAAAAAAAAAAAAATAATAATAATAATAATAAAAAGAAAGAGGCACGCATGCAGAAATAACGAAGCACATCAAGAAATCTTCACGGGGGCACACGGCGGTGATGGCCGGGCTCTTGCCGTGTGCGGTCGGAGTGGCACTCGTTTGGCTTCCACACCCACCGCGTGGGGCGCATTGGCAGGAGCAGGTGGATCAGTGGGCGGGAAGGCCAGCGAAGCAAGACAAAAAGCGGCTGCCCTCTCCAACGTGGCACCGTTACCAAGCGCCAAGATCAAGTAGCCAAATAAAGAAAACGGAATTGGCTAACCGCGATCCACCGCCACCCCACTTGAGCCCCAGCCGGTGGCACGTCCCTCTCCCGCAGCAGGTCCTGTAGGGCGCAAACACAGGGCGAGGACCAGGGCGGGTGCGTGATAACAATAGACATGCTAGCGGGCGGGTCAACCGCGTTGCGCCGCGGATCAGAGCTTGGACGCCGTGGCCGCCGGACCCTGCTCCTCCCGCCCTGGCGCCCGCATATTTGATGCCAGCGCACCGACAATTCTGTCACGCAGTGCTGGGTGCAAGACATGGCCCAGCCCTGCAACTCTAACGAGCTCCGCGTGTGGAATCAGGGCGGCGAGCTCCTCGCCGTTCACGTACGGCACAATGGGGTCGGCGGTGCCATGCAAAATAACTGTGGGCACACGAATGCGTCGTAGTCCCTCCAGGCGATCGGGTGCATTCAGCAGTGCCACGTACTGCCGCAGGGCCCCGCTAAAATCCGAACTCCGTCGAACTATGCGGCGCATCTGCGTTAAGCAGGCCCTCCGATCAATGGGAAAGGACGTCCCAGCCCCCGGCGCGAAGCGTCCAATGAGATTTACTAACGCGTGAGCCAAGGCACCCTCCTCTTTTGGTGTTGGCTTCTTACGGCCATTTTTCCCTCGAAGCGGCAGCGGCACGGCGAAGCCTTTACGTGTAACATACATGGCAAAGTGGGCCAATGCCAAAGCGTCCCGCAGCGAGGGCCACCCCGCCTGCGAAGATCCACTGTGTGTGGATATCAGTGCGAGCGACGCAACCCGTGCCGGGTGGTAAATGGCTACAACCTGCGCAATCATACCACCCATGCACATGCCGACGACATGTGCCTTGCTAACGTGCAAGGCGTCTAGTAAACCGACACTGTCCCTTGCCATGTCCTGCAGCGTGTACACCTCACGTAGGAGGTTATGACGCCCTGGCACCACACTGGCGTAGGCCAGCCGCGCATACAGCAGCGTGTCCTCACCTAACGCGCCCAACCAGGAGTGGGCGGGCGCCGCGCCGGAATTGACCTCCCATACCTCCGCCTCATCCCTCACGGAGTCCCTAGACAGTGCTGCCGGTAACACCTTTTGGCCCGTGAGAAACGTACTCCGCCCTATATCACGGTTGTCAAAGCGAATGACGTAAAACCCACGTGACGCCAGGCATTCACAGAATTTCATGTCCCACAGCAGCATGGGAGAAGCCAGTCCCATGATAAGAAGAACCACCCCGCCCGCGGCATCGCGCTGCCCAAATGTTTGGTAGCAAAGCCGAATACGAATCCCTGTGCTCCGGCACACGCCCACGTCCGCAAACGCCTCACCAAAGCGCGAATAACGTTCATGCGACGAGGCCGTAGGCGTGTTATTCAGCATCGTTTTCCCATTCGCTACGGGCACCGCTGGCCCCCCGCGCCCCGTGGGAAACTTCACCGTCTGCGGACGACAGCCACGCCCCCCAGCAGACAGCCCCGTGCCGCTCCCAACCTCCATCGCCCCGCAGTCAATCCTGCGATGGTCTTCGTCCCCTTGTATTGGTTTGCTTGCCTGCTTCGTTGCTGGTTTCGTGGCCGTTGCTGCAGCCCCCGTATGCCTCGCCCCTCGCTTCCCCCTCTCTTCAGGCGCCGCTCCATCCACGCGCGCAGGCACCCCCCGGCCGGTGAGGCGTTTGCGTCCAAAGTGCAGAGAGAAAAAGAAAAGAAAAAAAAAGGAAAAGAAGCGGCGGAAAGTGACGTCAACGCGTCCAGGCGAAGGAGGAAAAAAAAAAAAAAACTCACGGCGCCCAGCGACACGCGCAGAAGAGAGAGCTCAAAAATGGAAAAAAAAATAAAAAGAAAAGGAAAAAAAACCCCGCGAGAAGGCGACGATGGCGCGGGCGACTGTGCGTCCACCCAACAAAAGAAAAAAACACACACACACAAAAGTAATAACAATAAAAAAAGGAAGAGTAACGATGATGCAGGCAATAAGAAGAAAAGGGAAGTAAAAAGGAGAATTGGGGAAAAAAAAAGGAATAATACTATGGCGCCTAGAAGAGATGAAAGCGTAACAACTGACGGGGGCAATGCAAGAAAGACGCGCAGACAAACACATAAGCAAATACACACAGACACACTCTCTCTCACCCGCACTGGCAGCGCAAGCAGCGGAGAAAAGATACTTCTTTCAGCCTCGTTGTTTATAGATATATACATACGTACTTGTTTGCTATTGTTCTCGTTATTGTTGTTTATTTCGTTCCCGAATTAGTTGCTCCCGTATTCTAAAAGCAACCAAAACGCAGATAAACTGGTGCGCTATTAAGTAGGCGTTGCACGTTCCCCCACCACCACTCTCCTCTCCCTTTCACGCCAGAAACTGGAATGGGCACGCCGACATGCGCATATGCGTTCACATCCTCTCTGTGTGCATGTTTTCGTCGGCACTGGCATGTTTTTTAATTTTTTTTTTCGTTTCTCTCTCTCTCTCTCGCTCTCTCGCTCTCTATCTGCGCATTATGCATATATACAAATTATAACTGTGTGTATGCGTGTGCGTCTTTCAGATTTTGTTACTACAGTTGCACGTTCTTCTTGCCCTACCGGCTGCCGTGACCCCTCCCCCCCCTCACACACACACACAACTGTAAAGCCTACACCCCCCTGTCTGCATTCTTCGAGGTTAATCCGGTGGCTTCCTTTTGTCGTTTTGCCGCTTTTTTCCTCCTTTGCCCCCCCCCCCCCCCGCCACTATTACGCCATCGGTGACAACGTCGGCAATCGCGCCCATGTCCACAGACAAAAAGAAAAAAGATACAAATATATATATATATAAGCAAATGCTGCACCGCGTGTCCCACACGGTTAGAGCAAAAAAAAAAATGAGTGGCGTAGTGAGTTACAACAATACAATCGTAAATGTATGCACATATGAACAGAGAAAGAAGGAGACACGCAAACATAAGTGCTCACACACGTGTAGGTGGGGAGCGACAAAGACACGACTTTTATTACTAACTTGATTCCTTTCCTTCTGTTGTTTATTGGATTTCTTTTTTTCTGGTTTCTCCCCCTCGCACGGCACTATGGGTGAGTTGTTGACCAATCACTGTCGTATATACATTTTGGGTGCGGCGGTTTCTGGGGATTCGAGCATCGCCTCTGCGTCGGACACCATCAACTCGAGCCGCGCCAAGGACCGCTGCGTGGCTGCCTTCTCACGCCCTTCCTCCAGCTCCGCTAGCCGCCGCCGCGTTTTGGGGATTACCTCATTCGTGTACTTGATGAACCGGCGAACGCTGCCAAGGCGGAGGCTGTAGTTTTGTATCTCGCCCAGTCGCTGCAGGGTGGTGAGGCACTGGCTCACCGCAGAGGCGTTTGACGGTTCATCCACGACGGAGATGACGGCGGCCGTCATGGAGGGACCGCCGAGCACAAACTGAAACATCGCCCGCGGCTCCGCTGGGTTCTTGTCGACGATGCGGTTGTAGTGAACGATGCCGTCGCCGACGCAGGTGACGAAGAGGGAGGAAAGCACAATGTCCTCCTCGTCCCCCTTGGTGTGGGGCGTGTGCGTGCGAATTTGCTTCAGGATGGCTGACATGAGGACGATGCCGCGCTCCTCCCCAGGCTTACCGGCGGACCTGGAGAGGGCGAGGTCAAGCAGCGCGGAGAACTCGGAGGCGTCCTCCACCAACTGGTAGATGACGCCGTGTGCGACGTTGCCAAAGAGCGGGGACTGCGCCACAGTGAGGGCTGCGTGGTGTGGTCGCTCCGTCAGCAGATCCATCACCTGATCGTCCTCCAAAATCGAAACCGAGACGCTGAGTTCCGTTCTGGTCTTCATTTTGGGAAAGACATCCTTCACCAGCTGCTTCACCACGTTCCACGAGAACCACTTGGCTGGGTCGTGTGCTGGACAGTTGGAGTCTGCCATCACAAGCCCCACGTTGCAGCCTAGAAGGAAGTTATCGCGCATCTCCTCGAGCGTTTCGATAAAGACAATGGAGTCATCGGGTGAGAACTGCACAATTTCATTTGTGTCAAACTTTTGCAACTCATCCGTGCCCGGCTTCTCTACTATTGCCGTGCTGCCATCCACCGTGATGGTGTCACCGCCTTTTTTCTCCAAGAGTAGAATCGTGCGCACATGCGTCATCATAGGCGGGTCCAGGTTGCGTGGGTTCCTAGCTGAGCCCAGGTCCCCTTCCTTTTTATACTCCCCATCCTGCGTCGGCTGGACATCCTTGAAGTACATACCAATCCGCTTTTCACTGCCCTTGCGTGCCAACTCACCCGCGTTGGGCGGTTGTTGCTGCTTCGGAGGCTCCCTCGTCCCCCACTCTGGTGCGCGGCCAGGACGACCCCCATTGCCCGCTCCGCGTAAAGCTGCGGCTGCCATTACGGAAACTGAGCCGCTTGGCCACTGCGGTGGGGCGGTGGGGCGTGCTGCCAGACGCGCCTCCTCCAACGCCCCTGCGCCGCCCATCCTTCGTCCCGCACGCGCCAGTGGACCAAACTCGTAGAAGCCGTTCAAGGTGGAATGCTGTCGTGTAAGTGTCATGCTGTTCTTCCGTGCCAACCCCGGGTCTGCCTCAGGTTGCGGGACCGGGACTTCCGACACGTTCCCCCTGGACGGATGTTGCCGAAGGCCCTCGGCGCCGTTTCCGTAATTCATATCGGCAAGGGCCGACCCAAAGCTGTAATTGGGGTTGAGACCACTATTATTGCGGGATAACCCACGATTTGAAGGGAGCAAAGCGGAGGGAACGCGGGAACCAAAGGAGTTCCCATAACCTGATCCAAAACCCGACATCGCGCTATTTGATCGCTGGAAGCCGTTTGATTGCGGAAACCCATACAACGGTGGCCGATAGCCAGATCCATAGGAGCTAAAACTGCCATATTGTCTAGCATTCAAGCTTCCTTGAAAGCTAGATGAACGAGAAAAGCTACCACTGGGAGCTCCTTCGTAGCGAAAACTTCCCATGCGAGAACCCCGCCGGGACAACAAGACACTGTTTTCTCTCCGTAGCTGACCAAACTCTTCCTTTGGAACATAAGGCTGTGGCACAGGGGACAGGGACAGTGTCATGGTAGCGCATGTTCTCCATCCGAGGCTGGTACATACTGCCCGCGGAATAGCATAAACCTCCTTGTGGAGCATATGCTGGCTGCGGATTGTAAGGCATGGGCGCCATGCCTCCATAGGGGTACTGCACATTGCCCCGCTGAGCCACGCGGGCCTGGTTGACCATTGAATATCGGCCCTGTGGTCTCTGGAAGTCATTGCGGTATGTGGCGTTTGGATTGTTCGGATAATGATACCGAGGCATACTTTCCCTCAATTATTATGTCCCCTCTCGTTGCAGTTGTTGCGTGTGGCTATGCACTGTAGGTAGGTAGATATATATATATATATATCCGTCTGTGCGGCCTCGGCTTCGCCTCCTTACGTTGTAACTACAGCGGTTACTCCTTGCAGGCCGTGTGTGACGCTAGCACGACTCGTGAGAAGCACTTCAACCTTCTTTTTTTTTTTTTTGCGTCGTTGCTGCCTCTGTTCCCTACTTCTGCCGTGCAAACACAACCGTTGGGGCACACTGGCGCGTGCAAAGCACGGCACACGGGCAAACAGAGAAGGCGAAGGAAGAAAACTTAAGAAGAAAGCAAAAAAGGAAAACAGGTGAAAGGGCGGGAGGCGTTGGGTTGAGGCACAGAGAGGCGGAGAGCGCCCCCCCCCCAACATCCCCACGCGTACACGCAGAAGAAGCACCGCACGTGGGCACGCGGCGACGGCAGAACAGAGCAGGGGCATGCGGAGGGACGTCGTCATCAACACAGCGGCAGAAAAGGCAAAAGAAAGAAAAAAAAAGCATAAATCACAAAAGCATAGAACGCAATCCAAACACAATGGGAAGGGAAGAGAAGCAGAAGAAAAAAAAACAGTTTTGCAAATAAAAATAAGGGAATGTAACGACCTTCAGCAAAACTGTTCCCCCAAACACGCAACACCCACGCGCCTACACACTCGTGCAGAGTAAACAGAATAAACAAAACTAAAAACACACGCACGGGAAAAAGAAAAAAAATAGAAAAAATTCCAAACAACGCTCATAGGTAAGTTCCCCCGTGGCCACTGGGTTTTTGTTGCTTGCTTGTGTGTGTGTGTTTGCTCCCTCCATCCTAGCTTCATACATTCCTTCCTTTTCGTCTCGCCGCTCCTCCCCAGCCAAAGCCCTCTATATTCCCCCACGTACCTTCAGTAGTAATAACAGAAAAAAAAAAACAACTCGCAACAATATTATTGGTGACTATAATAGCCGACGAAAAGACAGACACAGAGTGTCTAGAAGTCCGTAAAGCTGTACAAATAAGCACCTTCGTTTAACGCTCGGTGCATACATATCTCTTCCCATGTGGCGGCACCTCCACATATGCATCAATATACGGACAGAGAGAGGGAGAGAGGGAGAGGGAGGGGAAGCGGCAGGTGACACTCTGCGCCGCGGTTGCAGGTTTATAGAACGTGTGCCTTCTCACAGAGTCCTTCGCCGCCCTTCCAACGACCCTCGTCATCCTTTTCCTTCACAAAGGCGTCGCTGAGTTCCACAAACTCCCAGTAGTCTGTGAGCGATCGGAATTTGCCCATTCCGAAACGGGCCGCCTCACGCCCAATCGCCGGGTTCCATCGATGCGCCTCATTGTCGGTCACAACAAGTTGGGTGGTGTTCAGTACGTGCCGCCGCAGTAGATATAACGCGCGTCTTATCGAGGTGCCCTGCTCAAACTCCCGGCGCTCCTTCGCACCAGGCCTCTTAATGACCCCGAAGAACCGCGGGGTGTTGACGCGCATGTAGTTATGGTACACCAACGCCGTGGCAGGGGAGTAGCTGTCCCACCCGTGCGTCCAGAGCCGCACGGTGTAGAGGATCTCCTCGCCGTCAAACAAAAATGGAAGGTACGGATCAAACGGCACGTCCCGCACGAACTGTGCATCTCCAAAAATGTACCCGGCAGCCACAAAGCCCTGGAGCACGGGGTGATCCCCAATTGGGATCCACCTTGCCCCCAACTTTGGCACGTTGTTGGGCATTATCACTCCTTTGCACATGCACATCACATCCGTCTTGTTGATCTCAGCATCGGGAGCCTCCGGGGTGTACCCGTTGGGGTAGTGCGACAGCACCCCGCGCGTGGGCATCAGCCGCGCGCGTTCAATCATCCTTACATCCCAGTCCGGCACAAACCTTGAGTGGCTGTCCACCACCATGTAGTAATCCTGGTTATTGTAGAAAAGACTTGTGATGTAGCGACCGTACGTCGGACCGCGGGCGTCGTCCGGGTTTCCGAGGCGTGTGACGACCTGGCAGCCGTTCAACATGGAGTCGCCAGGGGAGGAGAGCTCGCCAGGGGCATCCGCGCTGAGAAGGCAGGTGATGATGTCTTCGTCTCGCCTCTCATGCAGTACAGGCGTGTGCTTGGGGTGTTGCCGCAGGGCGGCCGCATCGTAGGCGTGGGGAAGCAAATCTCTCCAGCGCATCGTGCGAGAGCGATTCACGCCAATGCCGTCAAGCACCTCAGGTGAGGCAATGCAGCTGCTATCCGTCTCAAAGCGCTCCTCACTGATGCCCAGGAACACTCTCCTAGGGTACTTCGCACGCGTGAAAAGGCTCTCCAGCGTCGTAACGCACTCGGTGTCGCGAAAGGCGGCGATGGAAACAAAAATGGTGGCGACCTCCACCGGTATGCGTGCGGCCGGAAGGTCCTCAGAGGAAAACACAGCCACATTCCCTGAAGCGGCGCTTAGCGCCTCCTCCGAGGAGGAGGCACGATACCCGCCAGCGCCAAACACAAGCAGGATGAAGAGTGACAGGCAAACCAAACACACCCGCACCAACCTTCGTGCGTCCCGCTTCCCGCGTTGCGACTTCAGGCCCCGCTCATACCGCCGTCGCTCCATCGATGGCGTCAAAATGAACCTCCCAAACCCTGCCCACTGCAAAAGGAGCGGCGTGAACGCTTAGCTATCTACTTGACTAGCAGCCTTCCAAAGCAAAAAAAAAAGCTTGGACACCAACAAGAGAAAGCAAAAGAGAAAAAAAAATCACCTTACTATTAGCTTATACAAGGCAAACAATCGAAACCCACCAAACCAAAAATCCTTAATTGACACTGAACATTTAAAAAAAATAAAGAGTAAATAAAACAGAGGGTAACAAAACGTCCAATGCGTCGTGGAGAGAGGTATGCGTGCGTGTGCGGCTCAGGGTACGAATCGATAAGGCATTTGCTTTTCACGCGCGGCAATCCGCGTCCAAAGGTGTCCTAAGCTCGTCTCTCATCACGGCGGCGGGGCGCCGCACGCGCATACGCTCGTGCGGGGAGGGGGAGGGGGTGTGTGCGCGTGTGCGGCTCAGGGTACGAATCGATAAGGCATTTGCTTTTCACGCGCGGCAATCCGCGTCCAAAGGTGTCCTAAGCTCGTCTCTCATCACGGCGGCGGGGCGCCGCACGCGCATACGCTCGTGCGGGAGGGGAGGGGGCGTGTGTGTACGTGTGCGTGTGTGCGTGTGTGCGTGTGGAGAAAACTTAGTTAGCGGTGAAGCGCCAAGCAAACAGAGAATGAAAAAAAATAGGAAGAAAGCGGTCGCTCTGGC